CCAATAACTCCATATACCCAAAAATTGACGAGTGCCTGATTCCACCGTGTCATGACACAATTATATAGTTATTTAAGCCCAGCGAAGATATGTGAGGCAGCGAGGTGAAATCAGGCACTCGTCAAAATAATTAAAGTAAAAAAACTGACACTTTTCCACTGGTTTGACGATTTTCATCGAAATTTTGTTTTTTGGCTTAATACCTTTTAAGTCTGTTTAAGAACCCATTTCAGTAAGAATTATATTTTAAAAAGTTTATTAAAGGCTCAAAAAATGCAAATTGTCTGTTTCCACAGACTAGGAGGCTTTGTAAATAACCAAACTTTGGCCGCTATTTTATTGCTAATCTTACCTCTGAAACCAGGCGACCCCCACCTTATTCATTTTCAAATATCTAAAAATGTACTTAACATAAATGGGTAATTCTTTCATCGAAAGCAAGGCAAATGTACAAGCTTTAAGGCAATGCCAATAACTCCACATGCCCAAAAATTGACGAGCGCCTGATTCCACCACGCCATGACATATAGGTTCCCCCCTCTCCCCACCCTTCCATACCATGATAACTTAGAATACAATATTGCATTCATTCCTAAATTTCAATGTGTGTTATATTCTGTAATTATAACATTGTTCTTCTGCTTTATGATTATTATGAGTAGGCCTACACAAAATATGCACAGACCTGCCATTCTTTGAAATCTAAAAAACAGGACCTCAAGGGGAAAACATCTGGTTCTGGGGAAAAAAATTGGGACCAACGACAAATCATCAGGGTGACTGCCAAGCCAACTTAAAAATTTACCATGGGTGTCCATAAATACATCAAGGCAGAGTAAGTTTTTTGAAAAATCTGGCGTAACAGAAGGAAAAAAAATATCGGGATACACGCGATCGAAATCGGGACGCTTGAGATTTGGAGCATCGGGATATCCCGATTAAATCAGGATGAGTGGCAAGTCTACATGCATATATATTATATATAAATCCACGGAAATCTACCTGAGTAATCAGTAATCTTCATTCTGCTACTGCCAAAAACATTTTAAATACTAAAAGAATATATAAGCAGTTATCTAGAAGTCCATATCAGAACTAAATTCGCGTAAACTCGAAATTAAGCCCAAATATTTGTGACGGCAAATAGA